TCTGGTGAAAATTTCATGTCATTAGCACCTCTAGTAATATATTTACTGAGAAAAATGGTGACGTGTTCAATACTTATTTTACCCGCTGTATTACTCATAATGTGAAGTAAAGCTCCCTCAGTGTCGACGTTTACCTCCAGTTTCTTTATCCTCAACAAGGATCTCCAACTTCAACAGCCTCCAGGGAATGTCAGGGTCATCCCCCATGACCGTTAACGTGGCCTCAAACTCTCCCTCCACGCGAAACTTAACACGGCCATTAGCTACAGAATACCAGACAAACAAAAAGAGACAGTTATGATGAAACAGTTGTAAATTAAGTAGCATTTCAGGAAAGAAGCTATATTACTGGCCACCTTGTAGGGTAACGATTTAAAAAAAAATCTTGCACCATTCAGCGTTCCAGTTGTCCTCGGAGGTCATAGTTTCACACTCCCGAGTTGTYATTTTTAACTGGAACGCCCCCTGGTGCTGTCAGTTGGAGTCGCAAGGTCGGCGCAACATGACCATACCGGAGCAGCCCGAGCATGCATTACATCATCATTTCAACATGGCCGCTCCTCACATCAACAGAGAATTAAGCTCTTTACTTTTACGGTTTTTAGCAGTTCTGTGTTGTTTACTTTACATCGAGTCAGTCGTACTTGTAGTACTAGTATTATTAGGACAGGGCTATTCAACTGGTGGCCGAGTGACCAAAGTTTGGCCCGCCAATTGGTTCTTTCATCTCTTAAGCCCAAACCCCCAGTTTTCTACTTTAATTACTCTAGGTTCTTTTAGTTAAACATAGACATGTTGGGTATCTACAGAAACATCAGAATCTTGGCTAGAAGCTGGTAAAAACTATTTCTACAAACACTCAAGACAGTCAAACCTACAAGCAGTTGAAGATAAAATGAAAGTGAAAATAAAATTGGTTTAAAAATTTGGCAAGTCAGAGATGTCAAAATAATATTTGTCAAATAGGAGGCAGAATGTGTTCTTTTTGTTTTTGAAAATTAGGGGTGTAAGAAAATATCGATACACTGAAATATCGCGATATTTCATTTCCCGATTCTGTATCGATATTCTAAAGCCCTGTATCGATTTTTTATTAAGCTTTAAATTGTCAACTTTCCTGCCAGCCGTTCATTTATATGTTGTAGTTCAGCCTCTGACCACTAGTTGGCAGCAGTGARCCAGCCATTTGGCTCCTCTACTTATTTGTTAAGTGTTGGCTGACCATATTGTAAATTAATATTAAAAACTAAAAGCTGCAAAAAATATATTTTCAAACTATTTATTGGCAAATTTAGTCTAATAATTGAAAACATGGATGAAATATGAAACAAATAAAATAAAAAACAWAAAAAGCAGAACACAGCTAAATGTATCAAAAGTATGTCTATGTAATATTAGAATTTTCTGAGACCATGAATTTTGGTTTTTCATTTTTTTCCCCTGTAAGAAGTTTTTATTTAATAGAATTTTTGGACAAAAAAATCGCACTATATCGCGATATGTCGCCTTGCTTATAGTATCTCAATATATCGGGATATATCGTATCGTGACCCCTCTATCATGATATGTATCGTATCGCCAAATTCTTGCCAATACACAGCCCTATTGATAATGTGTAATTATCACTACTTATTTAGGGTTCTATATGTTGTATTTATGATTAGTATTATATATGATTATATACAGTATATATTATATGTGATTGTATTATGACTAGTGTGTGAACCTTTGTACGATGCTGCTGTGACACCTGAATTTCCCCTCGGCAGGACAATAAAGGCTATTCTATTCTATTCAGCAAAATAAACTAATTCCAAGGTACCAGATCTTTGTAATACTTGGTTTATTTACATAATAACTTTAAGTGCTGGATGTTCGGCCCCTCAGCTGTTGACAGGCAGTAACTGTGGACCCCAGAGAAGTTTAGTTGAATAGCCCTGTATTAGGAGATGTGTTTTAACAATGTTTGTACACTCAAAATGCCTCATACTGCACTAGTGTTGTGCTATTGTTGCAGAGCAAAAAATAGAAATGCCTTTTCCGACTTTTGAAACTGGAACGCTTTCAACTCGGAACCGATGTCAGTCCGATTTCAGAATTTCGAGTTCCGCAGCGACAGCCCTTGGAGTACGAGTTTGGAATGACTCTCAGCTAATATCACACCACATTTTATCTCAATATCTGTGAAATGCACTGTTGTAGTTATTTTTGTGTTTGCTAAAGTCAGTTAGCTTGTGTGGTCATTTTTAAATCAGGTTGACTGCAAAAGTTAATCCAGTGCAGATGTACATCCAATGATTACTTTCATGGCGATGTAATATAAATAGTTACATGAAGAAAAACACATTTACAAAAAAAAACCTACCAACTGTCAGGTTTGCCAACTGTGGGGGTAAATCTGTGGTGACCAGGCGGTGTCGTAGAATCTGATTAAGCTGACTCAAAGTGGTCTGCTTTTCTACTTTTGTGATGGGGTCTGGAGGAATGATTTTATCCTGCATAAAGACAAAACCAATTAGTCTGGTGTGCAAAAAAAACAAACGTGTCATTTTTAATGCCTGGTATTCATCTGCGGGCTTAAAAGAAGACTTACACGTATGCATGTGGGCAAGCGTGGGTATGAACCTGTGGTCAGCACATCGATGGCAAAGGGGATGGCAAAGCTAGGCAGACGAGCGTGTACGAGGGCGTCTCTGGCTAGTAATGCCAATCTGTCAGCTGTGTCCACAAACAAGATGGTCTGCTGATCCAGGAAACTGGAGATCATCTGTTCCCACAGAAAACACAGGGGTGGGAGAAGTAGGGCCAGGATGAGTTTCACTGTTGCTCTGATCGCAGTTTAATATGAGGACGCAACAACACACAGCGGCGTAATTAAATTAAACACAACATACCGCACACTTTTCTACTTTCCCTGCATTGCTCGCCCACTTCACCAGGGCCAGAAGGCGCACAAAAAGCTGCCTGGTTCGACTGGCAAACTGGACGATCTCAATTTTCCTGGAGGAACAACAGTAAAAAAAACAATGGTTTCAAATGTGATAGAATGCGCAAATAGCTGATAAAGGAGAATGAATGGCATGTAACAGGAACATACCTCTCCATGTCCGTTTTTCTGGGGAGCCTGAAAGAAAAGAAAATATGAAATATTACTTAACGCATTAGCTCATCATGTTTTCTTACAAAGGATAAGGATCACTGAAAGCACTGGTTCTTAATTAGTTTTTAATTTAGTATAACTGGATCAACTTGATCAAGGGGCAAATAATAGTGACATATTTATTAGTTTACACAAATGGTTATCTTGGTGACAACTCAGTATTAGTTTAATATCAATATCCTACATTCGGAGTTAAAAATCCAGACTTAAACGTTTTAGGTATTCATGTTTTTGGGGGTAAACATTAGCTTAATAAATGATTTGGAAATACATTTGTGGACACACATTTTGTATTGAACCTCATGAGAAATAAGTGTTTCACTTTCTTGGGTCATTCACTTAATTTTAAATTATGCACCATTTATATGTGCACATCATGCTATTCTGACTTTTTATGCCATGATTTTTGACAAATATTCACCTGACAATTATAGTTTACTACTACTACTTACCACACTGCAAAAACTGTCCATCTTACCAAGTTTTAAAATCTTATATCAGCCAAAAAGTCTTTTTGATCTTGTTTTGAGACTGATTTACTAAACAAGAACTGATTGTGTAAGAATAATAATCTTGTTTTCAGAACGTGTAAGATTATTTGTCTTGTTAGTCTGAAAATTTGACTCAAATTAAGTGAAAATTTTCTGCCAATGGAGTAAGAAAATTTTACTTTGTAAGATTCTTGAAATAAGAAAAAACTGAGTCAAATCAAGTATTTCAAGAATCTTACCAAGTAAAATTTTTTTACTCCACTGGCAGAAAATTTTCACTTAATTTGAGTCAAATTTTCAGACTAACAAGACAAATAATCTTACACATTCTGAAAACAAGATTAATCAGTTCTTGTTTAGTAAATCAGTCTCAAAACTAGGGCTGCCACGATTACTCGATTATAGGGCTGTGTATTGGCAAGAATGTGGCGATACGATACATATCATAACAGAGGGGTCACGATACGATATATATCGATATATTGCGATACTGTAAGCAAGGCAATATATTGCGATTTTTTTGTCCAAAAATTATATTAAATAAAAACCTCTTACTAAAAAAAAAAGAAAAAAGAAAAGCTAATGTTTACTCACAATGCTAATGCTACCCTTACTCTCTGGCGCTCAAGAGATAGAGGAGCCAAATGTCTGGCTCACTGCTGCCAACTAGTGGTCAGAGGCTGAACTACAACATAAAAATGAACGGTTGGCAGGAAAGTTGACATTTTAAACCTTAATAAAAAATCGATACAGGGCTTTAGAATATTGATACAGTATCGGGAAATGAAATATCGCGATATTTCAGTGTATTGATATTTTCTTACACCCCTACTCGGTTAGTCGACGACTTATCGATTATTAAAATAATCAATGACTAATTTAATAATCGATTAATCATTTTTTTTGTTTGTTTTTGTTTTTCTCTCCAAACTGCTTTGACACCTTCCACTGCCACATCTGCCTTTCTGTCCTTGACACACATGCACAGTAGTGGTAACTGGGGTAGGCCGTGGACGTCACAAGACATTATACAGACAGGCTCTGGTATCATGGCTACCTGACAACAGAGCTCAAAGTGTGGGATCATTTTAAGAAAATGAAAGAGAAACCTGTGYAATATCTGCARRGCAGAACTTACCTTCCACAGCWATTATTTTTAGTTAGCATRTAGCTAAAATCTAACCATGGTTATATAATARCAGCTGTRTTCTGGTGTGATAAGCTGTGTTTTATATTCAATTAACGTATGGTCCGATTAGTCGACTAATCGAAAAAATAATCGGTGATTAATCGATTATTAAAATAATCGTTTGTGGCAGCCCTACTCAAAACAAGATCAAAAAGAYTTTTTATCTGGATATAAGATTTTAAAACTTGGTTAGGTGGACATTTTTGCAGTGAATTACTGTAGCTAATACAGATGAACTATATTAACCAAGTCAACACAGAAAAAMCACTGATGTTTTCTTACACACTGCTCTTTTTTGGGTTTATCCAAACTTGGAAAACTCTCTAAGATTTTAGCACCACTGAAGACTGCAGGAAAGCAGCAGAAAACAAAAAAGGTTGACTTTGTTGATGCATCTCGTTCATTTCCTCCATAAAGTCGAAAATAAACTGGATTTTAAAAAGTGACTAAAGTCCTGCATGTGCAGAGCATCCTGTTGGTTTACAGATGTTAGCTGCTTAGCCCGCCTGCTAGCATGGGGCCTACACTTATGCCAACTGGTACTTACAGCTCGGCTAGCAGCGTGATTTCATGGTAAGTCCTCTGGAGGAGAAATTCAATCAGTAGGCTCAGTCGAACACCTTGTGTGGCTGGAGCTCCGGGTGGCGGCGGCTGTGGACCCGAAACAACCGGGCCCCCGAGGGGGACGAGCTGCCCATCAGACCCGATCTGCACTGGAGCCATTTTAGCTGCTCAGCAACACTTAAATTAGCAACACAACAGAAAACTACCTGGTTGTAGGAGCGAATTCCTTGTAAAAAATATAGCGTCCTCGCAATTTCACATCGCTTCCACGAGAATATTTTTGGCAAGAATTTAGAGACCTCTGTATAGAGAAAACGAAAAGAAATAGTAACTCTGTACGGAGAGGAGTCCGTGGGGCTCCGCCGCCATCTTTGCTGCCGGAGAAGATTATCACCGAGGAGGTAAAAGAGAAAACCCAGACCGACTTTAGAGGAGCGAGAGTCAACATGTCTGTCATTTCTCTGCTGTTTCAATCACCAGACCGGGTCAAAAATGTTGATTGTCAAGTATACAACCCAGGCTCGTGTGCAAAATACCGACACAATGTTTGTCAGCTTGTTTTGATCTTCTTCTTATGGTCAATAGAGCTGTTCAGACAATCACAATAAGTCTGGCTCAACTAAATTACTATTACAATTTAATATGACACATCTATCACAAAAAAGAAATATTATAAAAAATCTCAATATTTAAAATAATGCACAAAATAACAAACCTGAACCTTTTTACAATAAATGATTTGTGAAGTAGATTTTTGTAAATTCTGGAAGCTGGTGATGTGCAGATCGATACTCAAATACTAGATACTACCGATACTAAAACCAAAATATCGATACTTTGATGCTTTAGTTATTTCCCACTGTTTTCCTGTTAATGAYATACCTTATGTGAAATAACTAAAGCATCAAAGTATCGATATTTTGGTTTTAGTATCGATTCTATAATACAGTATAAAGTTCTGGTATCGATACTCAAATACTAGATACTACCGATACCAGAACTTTAAACTGTATTATAGAATCGATACTAAAACCAAAATATCGATACTTTGATGCTTTAGTTATTTCACATAATGTATATCATTAACAGGAAAACAGTGGGAAATAACWAAACTATTCAAATCTTGTCTAAATCATGTGGTTGGAGGGAACTACTTTTTCTTCTGCTTGAGTAATGCATAAACACAGTGACACGTTTTCAGTCACTCTCTCGGGGTATGGCAGGTCATTTTAACATAAAATCTGTTTCGTCTGAAAGTCTGTATTAGATTCTCTATGAGAGGTTCCCAAACCTTTTCATGCCATGGCCCCGCAAACAGCATTAGCTCCGGACAGGGACCTTCTTGCAAACAATGCTACAAAATATACAAAGTGACAACTTTTAGAATACTTTTTCTCACTTTTATTCACTATCCAAAAATGTTTTTATTTCTTTAGAATAAGAATTTAAAATTGTGCTATACAAATGTAGGGTTAGGGTTAGAAAGACTTAAATTAAATAAATTATTATGTCATGTATTATTTATGATGCGGTTATTTGAAAAAAAAAGATTTAACAGACACATTTTGTGTGTTATCACAAAGTATCAGTATCGTTGATGCAGCCACGTTGTACTTGGTATCAGTATCGGAAAGGAAATTGGCAGTMTCGAACAGCCCTAATTCACCACAAACAATTACTTACAACATTTCATGTTCCTTTGTGTTGTTTATTATTATTAACTTTATTCGTTTCATAAAAAAACACATTTACATACAACAAAACAACACAAATCAAATAAAGTGAAAGGTAGCAGAAGAAGAAAAAGTATAAAAATGACAAGCAAGCAAGATTTAAAACTAGACGTATGCAAAGCAGAAAGATTTAGTATAGTAATATGACTTCAGAATAAAGACCCCAAATCATTCAAACTGTTAACCCTTAAAAATAATCATGGAATGTCATACTTCCAAAGCATCGCTCACCAAAAGCCTTGGGAGACACAAACTTTCTCCAGGTTCCTGGCCTATGCTCCAACATTTACCTAAGGTCATGAAATATGGATGAGGCTGAAATATGGCGTGACTGGCCTTATTGAGGAGCTCCATCATCTGGGGCAGGCTCAGAGTACAGACGCTGCTCCTCCACATAGAAGAGTCAGCTCTGGCTCAGGCATTTCACTTGTTAGCCTACTCAATGCATTTCTTTGGACACCTTTAGGGCACATAAACAATGGGAAGAAGGATCCTCACAGATTTGTTCTCTCCATCGGAACTTGGAAAAATTAAAGATGGATGTCCAACAAGGCTGAGTCAGGTAGACAAATGGATGGGTGGATGGTTCACTTGATTAATTTACTCATTGATTGTTTTGAGTTAGGAGTTTCACTTAAATGGCTATTTTAGACTTACAATATATATATA